CCATGATAAGCTGTACAATAAATAACATTTTAGTTGGGTAGTACAGTAGTTTTAATAAAACAAGTCAAAACCAGGAACACCTGGTGGAGTCTCTATCTTTTGCTCCTTTAGTTTGTTCCACTCTTCGGGCCTTGTGCTGTCACTTAGATATTTAACACCATGGGATTAATTTACAAGCTATAGCCTGTGTGCCATTTGTCATATTGATCCTTATTTTCAGCTATGTAGCTGCTGATTTCAGCTCTTGTTGTTGAAAATAATGTTTATTAGGGCCAGTAATAATTGCTTTAGCTTGCAAAATTATTTAAAGAGGCTGTGTCAAAAAAAAAAAAAAATCTGACAGGGGTTCTAGCCTTACCCCATTCTACTAAAAAAACTATTTTATCTATGTATTGCTGTTGGAGATTTAGGCTCCTTTCACACACGGGCATTCCGTATATCCGTTTTTCATCTGTCCATTTACAGATGAAAAACAGGCACCCATGTATTTCTATGGACTAGCGGATGTAAACAGATTATCATCCGTTAATGTCCACATCCATCAACATAATTTTTTTTTAACAGAAGAAACCCCTATTTTTCTTCTGTTAAAAAGAACGAAACGGACAAAAATGGATGTAAATGGACAAAAAGAGATGTAAACTGATGTAAACAGATGTAAATGGACAAAAAAATGGATGTAAACTGACTAAAATGGATGTAAACAGACAAAAACAGATGTAAAACGGATCTAAATGGATGAAAAATGGATGTAAACGGGCAAAAACTGACAAAAACGGATGAAAAACAGACAATAAATAGATTTAACTGATGAAAAATTGATGAAAAACTGATGTAAACTGATGAAAAATGGATGTAAACTTATGTTAACTGATGAAAAACTGACGTAAACTGATGAAAAGTTGATTTGAACTGATAAAAAAACTGACGTAAACTGATGAAAACCGTGAACTGATCCGTTATTTCTTGGAAAGAATGTGACTGAACCTATGAAAAAAATGGACACCCATGTGAAAGGGGCCTTAGTCTCACATGTTTGCCATGCAGTGGTGTACTACGGAGGAGTATGGGGGCTGAGGTCTGCACCTGGGGTGTACTTCCTGGGGGTGCTGCAACTACCTGACATTTCTTTTTTTTGTCTTGCACATTACTGCAATGCTATCTCTTCCACCTCAGCACCATGCAAACCAAAAAAGAAATGTCAGGCAGCCACAGCAGCCCCAGTGAGTTTGCAGCTACTACTTCAGTGACAGGGCACACAACAGTGAAAAGAAGTCTCTTCCCTTCACTGCCCATATAACAGAACTGAGAGGACGTCCCTCTCTTTTTGATCTCATACGGCATCGTTGTGGTGAGTGTGGAAGGGAAATTTGTGTTAAGGGGTCTGTACCTGGGGGGGTTATCTGTGCTGTGCTGAGGGGTCTCTAATGGTGGGTTCTACTACTCACAAGTTTATACTTTTATCGACCCCAACCATTACCCCCTTTAGCTGCAGAGGTATCGGTCAGGGGTGTACACGTGCTGGCCACAATGCTTTGCAGCCATGGTAGGCATTATACCCCCTGTCACTTTCAGCAGGAACATTTCCCTCTGACCGCAACCCATTCAAGTGAATGGGGACACTTTGCAAGTGCCTCACAACCATGTGCAATGCATGCTGTGGGGGCATGCTGGTTTGTTAATCAAAGGGTTGAGCTGGGCAAAAAGGAGGTGATACAATGCCTTCACATCACCTGTCAAATTTTGCTGGTGGTGTCCGAGTGTGTATGTGCTGGAGAGATCTGTACTAAGGGTATAGGGTGGGAGGGGGAATGTAGGAATGTTAGTGGAGATTTGTACTGTTGAGAATATGGGTTGGGAAGAGGGAGTCATTTTGGTTGCACTCAGAAAAATGGTCTGTGTGTTACGCACTCCTGACCCCTGCACTATGGACAATTATCTAATCTATCTTACTGATTTATCAAATCTGGAGCAGTTGTGCATCGCAACCAATCAACTTCTAGCTTTCATTTTTAAAGCTTTACCTGAACAAGCTGAAGATAGAAGCTGATAGGTTGGTATGTACAGCTGCTCCAGATTCTGTCTGCTTCAGTGCTTGAAAAATTCCCCTCACTGTGTTTTACATTTTATACCCCTGACCACTGCACTCTAAGTACATTACTTCTGTAGGGCAGGTTGTGTGTATAAAAGCATATGTAATGGAACTGTTTTATTTTTATTATGAGTATGCTAAGGTTTGTTTGCATCTGTTGCACTCTTGCTTGTGGCTCCATTATTACAGTATTTTCTGGCGTATAAGACTACTTTTTATACTTAAAAATATACCCCATAAATTGGGGGGGTCGTCTTATACGCGGGGTATAAAATGTCAACCTTGAGTTTGTTTGGGTCAAGCTGGCTGGATGTGCAGTAATGTACATACAGTATACCGTGCTGAGCCAAGCTGGCTCAAAACAAATGTCCCTATGACAGATTAATCTGTCAGCCCGCTGGATGTGCGGTATATACAGTATACTGCGCTGAGCCAAGTGGTTTCAAAACGTACCGGTACGTCCCTACTGTAATCAGCCCGCTGGATGCCTGTATGTACGGTAGCTGCGGCTACATACAATATACACTGGGCCAATCACGGTGAGTGATGTATTCTACTAATGAATACAAAGCCTGCTCGGAATGGCTAAGTCAGAGAGGTGGGTTGATGATGTCACAACCTCAGCCAATCCAAGCCGGCTTTGTATTCATTAGGGTTACGTTTTGAAACAGCTTGGCTCAGTATACTGTATATACCACACATCCAGCGGGCTGACAGATTAATCTGTCATAGGGACATTTGTTTTGAGCCAGCTTGGCTCAGCGCGGTATACTGTATGTACATTACTGCACATCCAGTATGTAGCCAAAGCTACCGTATTACCGCACATCCAGCAGTAACCATCTGATTTGGAATTTGATCCATATGATGACTCTTACAAATGTATCACAAGATGTCATTCATGAACTTATGATGTCAGAGGATGAACATGAGGATTTTGAAGGATTTTAAGTACTGGTAAGTCATAACCATTTCAACTAAAAAATCTGATGTTTTTAAACGGTGTTGCCTTGGAAGGGGGGTAGTGTTATACGGCGAGTATAGCCCAAAACCTATGTTTTAACTGGAAAAGTAGGGGGTTGTCTTATACACCCAGTCGCCTTATATGCTGGAAAATACGGTAAATCATATTTTGTGGGTGAAAGCACTATGGCATATGTGTGCTGAGTATAGGGGAGTTTATTTACCTATGCTCTTTTAAGCCCCAATTTGAATACACCTACAATTTGGGTGGTGTTCTCTGTGCCTCGCTTTATTTTTATTTAACCATTTTTTTTGTGGGAGCTGTAAAAAAATAAGTGTCTCTGGGTGCCAGATATGCTAAGTATGCAATGTCTGGTGAAAACAGTTTTAGCAGGACAGGGGAATTATGGTAAATCTCTTTAATGGAGCCATAGAGAGCAGAGAGAGATCCTAAGAGGGCTCTAACCCTTCCTAACTTCATTCTATTTCTAAACAAAGTAACAATTGAGTACTGTCCGTGATACTTTTTTTATTTGCACTAACATACAATTTTGAGGACAAGCTTTCGGGGTATGTCCCCTTCTTCAAAGTCCAAGCAGTACTGAGTACTGCTTGGACTTTGAAGAAGGGGACATACCCCGAAAGCTTGTCCTCAAAATTGTATGTTAGTGCAAATAAAAAAAGTATCACAGACAGTACTCAATTGTTTCTGTCGCAAATGCCCTAATACGGCTACAATCACCTTAAACAAAGGAAAAAACTTTACTGAACTCTGGAAGCTGTGCTCAAAAATAGGATGGGAGAGGGGAAGGACTAGTCACCAATGTTGCTTGCGGTCTCCATGCAGCTGATCTTTTGCCATAATTGACTAACCTTGTTTTTTCTGCATTGTGTCTGTGTGTGGAGTCAGCCATCTTGTTGGTGGCAGGGCTTTGCCTCCTCGTGTCAGGCTTCAGCAAGGATTGCAGTCTGCACTGTGAGACTAACACATTAGTGACATCACCAAAATCAAAATCCCTTGAGACTAGCAGTCAGAGGCAGCAAAGCTGTATTCACAGGAGTGTCTAGGCATACTTACTGTAAATACCAGAAAGCGTACTGCTATTTATTAGGAGTTCCAGACAAAAGGTACATGTTTATGGGTATTGTTTTGGTAGATATTCCCTATAATATAGCAAATCTTCATTGTTATGTTTGAATTACAATATGTTTTATAAAATTCAAAAACATTGAGTGGAAACAACTATTTTTTTCTAACATGTGAAAAAGATATGCAGTAAGTAGTAACTTTTTACATATACAGTACATGTCATAACTGTGCCAACGTTTGAATATGTGAAAACGTGCACCAATTTGGAGATATTCACATAGGTAATAGCTGATGATGTCACCCATGCATGTGCGGCAATGCTCTGCATTCAGGGCATACGGTATGCCGTGAAATGCAGAGCGCCTTGCCAGGGCTGCCATGCACAAGCACAGAAGTGAAGTCGGCCCAAGTCATGCAAATGGCCCATGAAGGAAGACTGGGTGAAGAAGGAAGTGTCGGGGGAGCTGTAAGAGTGCTGTGCTGGTCTTTTCAGGTCTGTAATAATGTGATAGTATATGGTGAATACTAGCATATTATGAGATAATGCTGCAGAGTGCCCAATTTTTTTTTTGGTGGTGGTTTACTACCACCTTCGAATAATTAAGAATCTGCATATGCGCATGTAACAGCTCATGGTAAACTTAGGGCAGTGTGTGTCCCACTGGTGAATCATCTGACATAGACCTAAGCTCCATACTTTCTACACAATAAAACCCCAGTCCTTAAACAATTAGCTCTTGAAAAAACATTGTTTAGTATAAGTAAATACACCATTATATGCATTACTTTGGGTGATATTTCTTTCATATGAAACATATGCTCTGCATAATTGTACAATGTTTTTTGTTATTCTAGGAGTTTTATCAAATGTTTTTCGGAATCATGCTACTTGTACCACAAAAAGCCGCAAGTGGTGTATATTTGATGGACCAGTAGATGCTGTGTGGGTGGAAAATATGAACACAGTCTTAGATGATAACAAGAAGGTACACATATTAAGTTATACTGATGTTATTGGTTTTATTTTTTTTTTAAATCATTAACAGTCTAGCATTAATTGCATTACCATGACATCATCCTATTCTGTTGTTATAGTGAATATATCTAATATGGTTTTGGTTATTTTAGTTGCATAATAAAGTCACTGAAATAGTATTATGCTACTCAAGAACTTTGTTCAAAATAAAAACAAACTTTTCTCCCTTGACATAGACAGCTGCAAGCTACCCTGCAATTTCTGCTTCGCTGGGACATAACATGCAAGCCTGGTCTACTACTTATTAACATTGGCATGTCCAGGTCTGCTTTGCAATTAGTGGGCCCCTTTTTTTTAGAGAGAGATTTCAAAGTTGCTATGATGGAGAGCATTTCTGTCTCTTTAAGTGTGTAGCCCATGCTGGTATTTTGTTGCCAACTTTTGTTCAGCCTATTTTCTGCTCCTTGCTGTTTCTCCTGACTGATGACCTTTCCAACAATGTTTACAGTTTGTAATGTTTATTAGACATTTGCTTCTTATTTTTATTGGCTGTGACCTTAGCCTTGATTCTGTTCCCATTTTTTTCTGATTACTGAGAACTGTTACTCAGGGACACAGAACTGTTACTCAGGGACAGACACAGAATTGTTACTGAGGGACACAGAATTGTTACTGAGGGACACAGAATTGTTACTGAGGGACACAGAATTGTTACTGAGGGACACAGAATTGATACTCAGGGACACAGAACTGTTACTCAGGGACACAGAACTGTTACTCAGGGACACAGAACTGTTACTCAGGGACACAGAACTGTTATTCAGGGACACAGAACTGTTACTCAGGGACAGACACAGAATTGTTACTGAGGGACACAGAATTGTTACTGAGGGACACAGAATTGTTACTCAGGGACAGACACAGAATTGTTACTGAGGGACACAGAATTGTTACTGAGGGACACAGAATTGTTACTCAGGGACACAGAATTGTTACTCAGGGACACAGAACTGTTACTCAGGGACACAGAATTGTTACTCAGGGACACAGAACTGTTACTCAGGGACACAGAATTGTTACTCAGGGACAGACACAGAATTGTTACTCAGGGACACAGAATTGTTACTGAGGGACACATAATTGTTACTCAGGGACACAGAATTGTTACTCAGGGACACAGAATTATTACTCAGGGACACAGAACTGTTACTCAGGGACACAGAATTGTTACTCAGGGACACAGAACTGTTACTGAGGGACACAAAATTGTTACTCAGGGACAGACACAGAATTGTTACTGAGGGACACAGAATTGTTACTGAGGGACACAGAATTGTTACTCAGGGACACAGAATTATTACTCAGGGACACAGAATTGTTACTCAGGGACACAGAACTGTTACTCAGGGACACAGAATTGTTACTCAGGGACACAGAATTGTTACTCAGGGACAGACACAGAATTGTTACTGAGGGACACAGAATTGTTACTCAGGGACACAGAATTGTTACTCAGGGACACAGAATTATTACTCAGGGACACAGAACTGTTACTCAGGGACACAGAATTGTTACTCAGGGACACAGAACTGTTACTGAGGGACACAGAATTGTTACTCAGGGACAGACACAGAATTGTTACTGAGGGACACAGAATTGTTACTGAGGGACACAGAATTGTTACTCAGGGACACAGAATTGTTACTCAGGGACACAGAATTGTTACTCAGGGACACAGAACTGTTACTCAGGGACACAGAATTGTTACTCAGGGACAGACACAGAATTGTTACTGAGGGACACAGAATTGTTACTCAGGGACACAGAATTGTTACTCAGGGACACAGAATTGTTACTCAGGGTGACAGAACTGTTAATCAGGGACACAGAATTGTTACTCAGGGACAGACACAGAATTGTTACTGAGGGACACAGAATTGTTACTGAGGGACACAGAATTGTTACTCAGGGACACAGAATTGTTACTGAGGGACACATAATTGTTACTCAGGGGACACAGAACTGCTACTCAGGGACACAGAATTGTTACTCAGGTCACAGAACTGTTACTCAGGGACACAGAATTGTTACTCAGGGACAGACACAGAATTGTTACTCAGGGACACAGAATTGTTACTCAGGGACACAGAATTGTTACTCAGGGACACAGAATTATTACTCAGGGACACAGAACTGTTACTCAGGGACACAGAATTGTTACTCAGGGACACAGAACTGTTACTCAGGGACACAGAATTGTTACTCAGGGACAGACACAGAATTGTTACTGAGAGGACACAGAATTGTTACTCAGGACACAGAATTGTTACTGAGGGACACAGAATTGTTACTCAGGGACACAGAATTGTTACTCAGGGACACAGAACTGTTACTGAGGGACACAGAATTGTTACTCAGGGACACAGAATTGTTACTGAGGGACACAGAATTGTTACTGAGGGACACAGAATTGTTACTCAGGGACACCGAATTGTTACTGAGGGACACAGAATTGTTACTCAGACACAGAATTGTTACTCAGGGACACAGAACTGTTACTGAGGGACACAGAATTGTTACTCAGGGACACAGAATTGTTACTCAGGACACAGAATTTTACTGAGGGACACAGAATTGTTACTGAGGGACACAGAATTGTTACTCAGGGACACAGAATTGTTACTCAGGGACACAGAACTGTTACTCAGGGACACAGAATTGTTACTCAGGGACACAGAACTGTTTACTCAGGGACACAGAATTGTTACTGAGGGACACAGAATTGTTACTGAGGGACACAGAATTGTTACTCAGGGACACAGAACTGTTACTCAGGGACACAGAATTGTTACTCAGGGACACAGAACTGTTACTCAGGGACACAGAATTGTTTACTCAGGACAGACACAGAATTGTTACTGAGGGACACAGAATTGTTACTGAGGGACACAGAATTGTTACTCAGGGACACAGAATTGTTACTCAGGGACACAGAACTGTTACTCAGGACACAGAATTGTTACTCAGGGACACAGAACTGTTACTCAGGGACACAGAATTGTTACTCAGGGACAGACACAGAATTGTTACTGAGGGACACAGAAATTGTTACTGAGGGACACAGAATTGTTACTGAGGGACACAAGAATTGTTACTCAGGGACAGACACAGAATTGTTACTGAGGGACACAGAATTGTTACTGAGGGACACAGAATTGTTACTCAGGGACACAGAACTGTTACTCAGGGACACAGAATTGTTACTCAGGGACACAGAACTGTTACTCAGGGACACAGAATTGTTACTCAGGGACAGACACAGAAATTGTTACTGAGGGACACAGAATTGTTACTGAGGGACACAGAATTGTTACTGAGGGACACAGAACTGTTACTCAGGGACACAGAATTGTTACCCAGGGACACAGAACTGTTACTCAGGGACACAGAATTGTTACTCAGGGACAGACACAGAATTGTTACTGAGGGACACAGAATTGTTACTCAGGGACACAGAATTGTTACTCAGGGACACAGAACTGTTACTCAGGGACACAGAAATGTTACTCAGGGACACAGAACTGTTACTCAGGGACACAGAATTGTTACTCAGGGACAGACACAGAATTGTTACTGAGGGACACAGAATTGTTACTGAGGGACACTGAATTGTTACTCAGGGACACAGAATTGTTACTCAGGGACACAGAACTGTTACTCAGGGACACAGAATTGTTACTCAGGGACAGACACAGAATTGTTACTGAGAGGGACACAGAATTTTACTGAGGGACACAGAATTGTTACTGAGGACACAGAATTGTTACTCAGGGACACAGAATTGTTACTCAGGGACACAGAATTGTTACTCAGGGACACAGAAACTGCTGTAACTCAGGGACACAGAATTGTTACTCAGGGACACAGAACTGTTACTCAGGGACCAGGACACAGAATTGTTACTCAGGGACCGACACAGAATTGTTTACTGAGGGACACAGAATTGTTACTGAGGGACACAGAATTGTTACTCAGGGACACAGAATTGTTACTCAGGACACAGAACTGTTACTCAGGGACACAGAATTGTTACTCAGGGACACAGAACTGTTACTCAGGGACACAGAATTGTTACTCAGGACAGACACAGAATTGTTACTGAGGGACACAGAATTGTTACTGTGGGACACAGAATTGTTACTGAGGGACACAGAATTGTTACTCAGGGACAGACACAGAATTGTTACTGAGGGACACAGAATTGTTACTGAGGGACACAGAATTGTTACTCAGGGACACAGAACTGTTACTCAGGGACACAGAACTGTTACTCAGGACACAGAATTGTTACTCAGGGACACAGAACTGTTACTCAGGACACAGAATTGTTACTCAGGGACAGACACAGAATTGTTACTGAGGGACACAGAATTGTTACTGAGGGACACAGAATTGTTACTGAGGGACACAGAATTGTTACTGAGGGACACAGAATTGTTACTCAGGGACACAGAATTGTTACTCAGGGACACAGAACTGTTACTCAGGGACACAGAATTGTTACTCAGGGACACAGAACTGTTACTCAGGGACACAGAATTGTTACTCAGGGACAGACACAGAATTGTTACTGAGGGACACAGAATTGTTACTCAGGGACACAGAATTGTTACTGAGGGACACAGAATTGTTACTCAGGGACAGACACAGAATTGTAACTGAGGGACACAGAATTGTTACTGAGGGACACCGAATTGTTACTGAGGGACACAGAATTGTTACTGAGGGACACAGAATTGTTACTCAGGACACAGAATTGTTACTCAGGGACACAGAAACTTTTACTCAGGACACAGAATTGTTACTCAGGGACACAGAACTGTTACTCAGGACACAGAATTGTTACTCAGGGACAGACACAGAATTGTTACAGAGGGACACAGAATTGTTACTGAGGGACAGACACAGAATTGTTACTGACGTAGCAGACGTAGCAGCAGAGGAAGGGGTCGAGGCAGCACTAGTCGCAGCAGAGGCCAGTGCTCCCGGTGTCATCCAGCGGTCGTGTCTCCACCGACAACCCTGCCGTCATCGATTGGTTGGCTCGGTCGTCTTCCTCTTCCCAGGTCACCTCTGACACCTACAGCCAATGGTCGGTGGTACGTCAGACACAACCGTTAGTTGGCATGGCCCGGAAGCAAGCCCACTGAAATCACGTGTCCTCTACCTGCCCCTGTCCTTTGGTGTTCCCTTACCAAGCGAAGTATCGCATGCTGTGGGCTCAGCCCCACTGTACAGTGAGGAAGAGCTAACAGAGGGCGGTCAGGAACGGGGGGAGACATCCGCCTCTTCAGCTGCCAGGCGAAGAAGTACTGGTGAGGAGAGTGGCTCGTAGCCGGTCTAGAGACAGGTCTGTCTCCTGACCCACACGCAGCCGAGGGGCTAGTAGTGAGGCGGAGACCCTAATTGATGATGATGAGGCTGATCGCACTTGGCAGCCTCGTCGTCATCAGGCTATTGCTTCCGCATCATCAGGAGAAGAGGGTGCCAGCTTGGCACGAGCAAAACAGTCGGTGGGTTGCCCAGGAGGCAGCAGGGTCGCAGCAGTGTCAGTGGAGGCAAACGGCCACGGAGTAGAGCACCAGCTCCACTGCAGCCTACCACCACGGCCAGTAGTGGTGCCCGGTGTGCACGGAGGAAGTAGCAGTCAGCCAGTGAGAAGTAGCGGGGGCAAAGTTTCCTACTCGGCGGTGTGGCAATTTTTCGTCAAGCCGCCCGAGGAAGTAAACGTAGCCGTATTCGACTATGTGGCCAGAAAGTCAAGCGTGGCCAGGGGGCCCATGTCTCCATCGCCACACTCTGCCATGTGCCACTTTCAGGTCTCCTTACACTGCTGGTGGGTTCCCTTTTGTCATAGGGTGCTGTCAGATTACGGGCTCCCATTGCTGCTGCCAGGCCCGTAATCTGCCATGGGCCCCCGTACCGCCTCCTCATGCTGCTGCCAGGTCCAGAGTGTCTCATGGGTCCCTGTACAGCCTCCCATTGCTGCTGTCTCCATCGCCACACTCTGCCATGTGCCACTTTCAGGTCTCCTCACACTGCTGTTGGTTTCCATTTTGTCATAGGGTGCTGGCAGATTACGGGCCTCCCATTGCTGCTGCCGGCCCGTAAATCTGCCATGGCCCCCGTACCCGCCTCCTCATGCTGCTGCCAGGCCCGTAATCTGCCATGGCCCCCGTACCGACTCCTCATGCTGTGACGTTGCAACAAGGTGGAATTCAACCCTACATATGTTAACCGCCTTTACGAACAGCGAATGGGGCCATCACCGATTTCCTGATGTTTACAAGCGGATAAAGGTACTCCCCTGTGTAACTTAGATGTCAGCCATTAGGCAGCTCATGCGTGACACCTGCCGCTTGCTCAGGCCCTTTGAGGAGGCCACGCTATTCGTGAGTCGGCAGACTATGGGATGAACGACGTCATTCCTCTGTTGCACGTCCTGGAACAAAATGCTGTTAACAATGGCTGGTCAGGGTGCGGTAGACGTGGCGCACAGATCTCAACGCCACATGACCCCTGTGGGGGCAGGACAGGAAGAAGAGGAGGAGGTAGAGGAGGACATTGGTGCTCAGGAATTATTGAGTTGAAATGGGTGGTTTTTCCACTCAGCGGACAGGAGTGGAGGAGCAGGAGCATCTGGTAGAGGAGGAGGAGGAGGAGACAGAGGACCCAGACGCACCGTGGCAGTATGCTGTGGAGATGGAGGCAGGGAGTCCCTCGCATTCCTTGGCACAAATGGCCCATAGCATGCTCGCTTGCTTGCGTAGCGACAGCCGAATAATAACCATCAACAGAGGGATGACTTTGGCTGTCCCACCTTGTTGGACCCTCGCTACCGTTCAAAAATGGTGGGCCTTTTTCACACCTGCTGAGAGGGAGGCCAAAATAACGTACTATAAAAACCACCTATGTAGTCAGTTGGTCTCTGCCTTTCTGCGCCAACGTCCATCCTCAGACACTGTGGGCCCTGTGCCTCGCGTTCCGTTGCCATGGCAGCAGGGAGGGGTGGGGTGGTAGGAGCATTGGCAGCTCCACCAGCAGCGGCTGCCTCAGTCTGCAGTCGATGATGAGTAGCTTTCTTCACCAGCGCAGTGAGGAAACTACTAACCAGCCGCAGCAGCAGCAGCATTAGGTGGACCTGGAGCAGGACCTCAAACAACAGGCTTGGGCCTACTTGGACCAGCACCCTGCCAACCGAGGTAGACAATCGCCTTGACTACTGGGCAACAAAACTTGACCTTTGGCCCCAACTAGCTGAAATTTGCCCATTGAAAGGCTGTCATGTTACGGGCCCGGCCAGTAGCGTGGCATGAGGGAGCGCGTGTTTTAGTGCGGCAAGGAGGTATTGTAACTCCGCGGAGGACACGACTGTCCACCCAAAGTGTGGAGAGACTCACGTTTGTGAAAAATGAATCAGGCGTGGATTAGTCTGGATTTCAAACCACCAGTTCCTGACACAACTGACTAAATCCGCCATGAATCATGCCCCAAACATGTTATTATTTTTAACATAGGCCTCTGTATGGCCTTCAATTTAAGCTGCTTACGCTTCGCCACTCTGCCATGGGCCCCTGTACCGCCTCCTCTTGCTGCTGCCAGGTCCAGAGTGTGTCATGGGTCCCTGTACGGCCTCCCATTGCTGCTGTCTCCATCGCCACACTCTGCCATGTGCCACTTTCAGGTCTCCTCACACTGCTGGTGGGTTCCATTTTTGTCATAGGGTGCTGGCAGATTACGGGCCTCCCATTTGCCTGCTGCCAGGCCGTAATCGCCATGGGCCCCTGTACCGCCTCCTCATGCTACTGCCAGGTCCAGAGCGTCTCATGGTCCCTGTACGGCCTCCCATTGCTGCTGTCTCCATCGCCACACTCTGCCATGTGCCACTTTCAGGTCTCCTCACACTGCTGGTGGGTTCCATTTTGTCATAGGGTGCTGGCAGATTACGGGCCTCCCATTGCTGCAGGGCCCGTAACTCCCAGGCCCGTACTCCTCATCTGCCCATGGGCCCCTGTACCGCCTCCTCATGCTGCTGCCAGGTCCAGAGTGTCTCATGGGTCCCTGTACGGCCTCCCATTGCTTGCTGTCTCCATCGCCACACTCTGCCATGTGCCACTTTTAGGTCTCCTCACACTGCTGGTGGGTTCCATTTTGTCATAGGTGCTGCAGATTACGGGCCTCCCATTGCTGCTGCCAGGCCTGTAATCTGCCATGGGCCCCGTACCGACTCCTCATGCTGCTGCCAGGCCCGTAATCTGTCATGGGCCCCTGTAACCCCCCGCCTCCTCATGCTGCTGCCAGGTCCAGAGTGTGTCATGGGTCCCTGAACGGCCTCCCATTGCTGCTGTCTCCATCGCCACACTCTGCCATGTGCCACTTTCAGGTCTCCTCACACTGCTGGTGGGTTCCATTTTGTCATAGGGTGCTGTATGGCCTCCCCATTGCTGCTGCCTCCACCGCCACACTGTGGCTCCACACTCTGGTTTTGGCCCCGTGACTGCCCAAATGAGTGAAGTGTGCGGTGATTCTAAGATCGACGGCACTCATCTGCATGTCATACTGACTGACAGTATTATTTCTCTTCCCCAGCAGACTCCAAGGGCATTTAAATTAAAGGTACAGTGTTCTGCACTAATATAAAGGCTCTCTGAAGCCTAGAAACACCCTTTTTAAAGTTAAATTCGCAGCGAATATATTCGCATCGAATCGAATTTATTCCTCGAATTTGCCGAATCAGCCGAATCAAATTTTTGAATACTTCGCTCATCTCTAGTAATATTAAAACCTTATCTGTACCCCTACAATCTGAATAAGCTAATACGTAAATGTATAAATTTTACCTTGACTTACTGCTTAGAGAATTGGACGATACAGTTTGGCCAGCCAATAGAGTCTTGGTTTACAACATAAAACTGATGCTCTTTTGTATTAAAACATGCCCCTTGAGGTAGTTTTGGTATTTATTTTTTTTAACTATGCCCTATACCACTTACCTATGGCTGTCTGGTGATTGTATTTGAGGGGTTCATCTAGGAAGGCCCGGACCATTCATGACATTTATTAGCTTTTTCAAATTATTTTATCTTTGCTTAATTTTAATATCCTTTTATTTTTTTTTGTTTTAGCTGTGCCTAATGAGTGGAGAAATCATTCAAATGAATCCCCAGCAGAACATGATTTTTGAGGTACTCGATCTTGAGCAGGCATCACCAGCCACAGTGAGCAGGTAGGTCAAATCAGTTTTCAAGACTATTACCCATCTTATATTGGTTACAGACATTTCATGGCAGTCAGACATTCACAGTTGATATTGATGCAGAGTGATATTTTATAAGCTTACTATGAACATAAACATGTGCATTATATTCACACATATAATTATACATTACACATAGTCTGCTTAATAATTCCATTTATTTTGTATATACAGTATCATTTTCTAGTTACCTCTCTTTACCTGTGATTTTCCTGTGTTTAGAATGTTTGACTCAAAGTTTATTTTTTCAGGCTATTTATTTTTGTAGTGTGTATGTAAAACTGCATTTCCAAAATGCTATCTGATTAAAATATTCCACTGCTGTTCCTCAGGGATCAGTATGACCTTAACAGAGATATTAATGTTTTTGCAGTCGAGATATTATGTTCCACTATAGTAATATAATGTCATCTGTTTATGTTAAAAGGTAGATTTGAATAATACAACATAAACTCTTGAATTTCATATTAGCTGCTGCATAGCTGTTTTATTAGAAAACAAAGCAACTTGGGTCCAATTTAAAGGTGAAACATAATGGATTGTTGTATCGGTTTATAAATTCATTATAGCAATTAGAAACATTACTACACAGGAATCTTAGACAGCACATTTATTTTTTTTTTCTGAAATTGAGTTTGTTTCAACTTTCTCATGCAAATTTTGCATATAAAAAGAATGGTGTGCACCAAAATGATTCAGGGGGTCCTAAATTGCTGTATACGCCAGAAATATTGTTTTCAAGTGATTATGAAACTTTGCACTTGTACATTGCTACCTTAATTTGAAAATAGTGTTTCAGCAGTTTTCATGCTCATTTGTGAAACTATTTTAGCAAAACATTTTTCTCCAGTTCAGAAGTTTTTTCTGCTTAGCCACTTCAATACTGGACACATTCACCCACTTCCTGCCAAGGCCAATTTTCATATTTCAGCTCTGTCACACTTTGACTACAAATTGCACAATCATGCAACACTGTACCCACATGAAACTTTTAGCATTTTTTTGCATTTTTTGCTAAATACATGAAAAAAGACAAAAAAGTTAGAAAACAAAACATGTTTTTCTTTGTTTCTGTTATACAATTTTGCAAATAAATATTCTTTCTTCATACATTTAGGCCAAAATGTATTCTGCTTTATTGCTTTGGTGAAAAAAACCCAAATCAGTGTTTATTATTTAGTCTGTAGAAAAGTTATACAGTCCACAAAGCATGATATACAGTATATCTAAGAGCAAATATATATAAGCAAATTTCCAGGGCTGATGGCTGCTCTCCAAGACTTAGATTGGGAGGGAATATTGGCACAGAACAGAAATGGGAATTCTTCAAAAGATTGTAAGTGAACACACTGCAAAATATATTCCCTTGGGCAATAAGTATAAAAAGCTAAAAATAAAACCTATGTGGCTCACAGCCAAAGTTAAAAAAGCTATAAATAATAAGAAAATAGCTTTTAAAAAAAATATAAAAATGAAGTAACACCATCATTGTTTAAATGTTACAAAGATTATAACAGAATATGTAAAAAGGAAAACTCAAAAATTCAAAACAAATGACAGATTGCAAAAGAAGGTAGAACAAACCCCCCAAATTTTTCAATTATATTAATAGAAAAAAGGTCAGGTCTAAGCATGTAGGCCCTTTACAAAATAATCTAGAGTGGGAGACTGGGGACAATGAGAAGGTAAAGTACCTTCTTCAGCTTTGTATATACAAAGGAGCATGGGGGAGCTTATGTCCATAATGGGGATGATATTGACACAGCCCCAATTGATCCACAATGGCTCAAAATTGATGTGGTCCAGATGGTATACACCCACAGATCCTAAAAGAATTGAGCTGTCATTTCAAAGCCATTGTTTCTATTATTTAGAGATTCCTTAAAGTGGAGGTCCAGTTGGAATAAAAAAAAATAAAAGGGGGGCTCATGCGCAGCGGACCAAGATGGAGGACGCCAGAGAATGGAGCTCCAACAATCCTCCGCTTTAACAGGTCTCCTCCACTCCTATTGCTTCTATAGCTCTGGGAGACCCCTCTCCCAGGTCAAGGCACACTCCAGCATCCCTGCCCACGCCACCTCCTCCAGTCCCCCGGCCTTCGGTGCTGGACCGTTTCTTCACTGGGACTGCATCCCAGGCCTCGAGTAGTGGGCGGCAGCCCTGGTGAGTGCTACAGGAGATCCGCGGAGATGGAAGAGATGGACACAGACCCCCCTGCAGCTTCACATCCCTTGCCAGTGACCTTTTCTCTGACGGTGGACACCTTGGAAGACAAACTGCAAGTATTTTATGTAACATTACCACCACCATCTCTGCTGAAGTAGGGAAACTGGCTCAGGAGCTTAGGGGGAAGATTACTCAAATAGGTGACTGTGCAGACCACCTTGAGACTAAATTTGATGAGCTGGTACATTATGTCCATGTTCTGGAGGAAGATAATGCCAGTCTGAAACACTCCATGTCTCAATTACAGCTCCAACGGGAAGATTTAGAGAACAGGGAGCATTGTCAGAATATTCATATTTGTGGCACATCCGAAACAGTCTCCGACTCCCAACTCCAATGCCACCTGCTGTCTCTATTCACCACTCTAGCTCCTAAGGTCCCAGAGGTTGATTGGCGAATGGATCGGGCCCATAGGTCATTAGACCTGAAACCCTCCGAGAGCACCAGGCCTAGAGTTGTAATCATACGCTTTCACTACTTTGACAGTAAAGAAGCCCTGCTCTCTTCTACTCGCAATAAATCCTCTTTGGAATTCAAGGGAGACAGGCTCCAAATTTTCAGTGATTTTATCTCCCATCACCTTGGCCAAAAGACAGGTCCTGAAGCCGGTCACAATTCATCTCCAACAGCAACATATTCCATACCAGTGGGGATTTCACTTCAAGCTCATTGTCTTCAAGGATAACACCCAAGTTACACTTCATGCCCTACATGAAGCAGGTTCCTTCTTCAAACAGCTGGGACTCCCTCCCCTGCAATACAAGGCACCTCCGCTACCTCTTACCCCATCCAGGTCCTCTGCCATGCCGCTCAATATCTGGACACCTGCTAAAACTGGAAGGAAGCAATTTCCTCATGCTTCTCAACGCCCGTGGCTTCATGGCTTGATGAGCTCTGCCACCTGATGCTCTTGTATGACAGGTCTCCTGCCCTGTTAATTGGGCTCCTTTATTCCCAAATGCGCCTTATTATTGTCCACATTGATATGTCTTGACTATAACCGTTATGTATCTTCCTGAAGTAGGCGTCTGCCAATATGGGCCTGCTGCCATGTTGCCCCCTGGAATGTCAGGCCTTAGGTCCTGATGTATTGGGATATTCCCAAACTCCCGGGTATATATCATAATGTCAAAAGTCTTAACTCAATTCAAAAATGGTATATGGCTCTGAAGGAGTTCGGATCCTCGGAAGCAGATATTATATTTATTCAGGAAACTCACTTCAAACAGGATGGCTCTTTTTGTTTCACCTCTAAGAACTTTCCACAATCCTATGCAGCTTTTGACCCCTCCAGGAAAGCCGGAGTGGCTATTTTGTTTCGAAAAAAACTGCTCCCTGCGGGTCTTCTCCTCCAGGTTTGACCCACTGGGTCGCTATGTTTTATTGGAATGTATGTAGTATTCCCTCCAGCCCGTGCCCCCTCCCCTGACTTCTCCATCAAGACCAATAATATAACCATCAGTCCCTCCCCTCATGCCAGGGTTCTAGGTGTAATCTTAGACTCCCATCTGTCCTTTCAGCCTCAAATCCAATCTCTGTCCAAATCTTGTAGACTTCACCTCCGCAATATCTCCAAGATTCTTCCGTTCTTAACGTCAGAAACTACTAAGCAACTTATTCACTCCCTGGTTTTCTCTCGCCTTGACTATTGTAACTCCCTCCTCATTGGCCTACCTCATCGCAGGCTATCCCCTCTTCAGTCTATCATGAATGCTGCTGCCAGACTCATCCACCTTACTAACCTTTCTGTATCTGCCACCCCCTCTCTGCCAATCCCTCCAATGGCTTCCCCCACAGATAAATTTCAAAACATTAACAATAACATATAAAGCCATTTATAACTCTGACCCAAATTACATCACCAATCTTGTCTACAAATATCACCCAAACTGTCCTCTCTGCTCCTCGCACGACCTCCTGCTCTCTAGCTCCCTTGTCTCCTCCTCCCATGCTCGTCTCCAGGACTTCTCCAGAGTTTCCCCCATCCTCTGGAACTCTCTACCCAAAATTATCAGACTATCACCTACTCTGCTCACTTTTAGGCGATCTCTGAAAAACTATCTCTGCAGGGAAGCCTATCCTGCCCTCAGCTAATAATGGAATCTTCTACTCCTCCTACCAGCTCATCCCCCACAGTTACCTTTTGTACCACTAGCCCCTCCCTCCTAGATTGTAAGCTCCACAGAGCAGGGCCCTCCTAACCCTCTTGTATTGAACTGAATTGTTGCTGTATTGTCTCCCAATATATTGTAAAGCGCTGAGCAAACTGTTGGCGCTATATAAATCCTGTATAATAATACAGTAATGTACGAGGGTTCCCCATTTGTACTTTTGAACCTGTATGCACCTAACTCTGGTCAGCTGACATTTCTCTCTCAAACGCTAGATAAATTATATTCACTATCCACCCCATGAATGATTATCGGAGGAGATTTTAACTCAATTATGTCTCCTCACAAAGATAGGAAGGTTCTCTTTGCATCTACTTTGTCAAAAAGGCAATGCTCCTCTTAGAAAGCTTTCTGTAAACTGATATGGGAGCATCGCCTTTTTGATGCTTGGCGGATCAATTATCCCCCCATAGACAATTCACATTTTACTCTCTTCTCCACATCGCGTATTCTCACACTTAGATCATTTTTTTGTTACCGCTCCCCTGCTCCCTTTTTTTGTCTCCTCCGAGATCAATCCTATAACTTGGTCAGATCATGCTTAACTATCGCTTAATCTCCTTCTCCCTAACTCCCCCCCTAGGGT